ACAGTATATATACACACACAGTATATATGTATATACGGTGGATATAAAAAGTCTACACACCCTTGTTTAAAGCCAGGTTTTTGTGATGTAAAGAAAAGACAAGCATAAATCGTTTCATAACTTTTTCCACTTTTAATGTGAGCCATAACATGTAATAGGCAATTGAAAAACAAACTGAAATCTTCACGAGGGAAAAATATAAAATAAAAACTTAAAACAACCTTGTTGCATAAGTATGCACACCCTTAAACTAATACTTATAGTATTATTAAATGCTCACTCCATTTAACATGAGTTTGCATGTAATTGGTTGAATCCAAACACAGCCATGCCCCCAGTTATACAGGGGTGTTCATATTTATGCAACAAGGTTGTTTTAAGTTTTTATTTTATATTTTTCCCTCGTGAAGATTTCAGTTTGTTTGGAATGACCCAGCTCATAGACACTTACCCAAAAAGACTGAGTGCTGTAATTAAAGTCAAAGGTGCTGCAACAAAGTATTAGTTTAAGGGTGTGCATACTTATGCAACAAGGTTGTTTTAGGTTGTTATTTTTTATTTTTCCCTCGTGAAGATTTCAGTTTGTTTTTCAATTGCCTATTACATGTTATGGGTCACATTAAAAGTGGAAAAAGTTATGAAATGATTTATGATTGTGTCTTTTCTTTACATCACAAAAACCTGGCTTTAAACAACGGTGTGTAGACCTTTTATATCTACTGTATATATATATATATGTGTATTTATGTATATATATATGTATGTGTGTATATATATATATACATATATATACATACAAACATACATACATATATACATTATTATTATTTAGTGTTTCTGTAATTATTAGTCAAAATAACAATGAAAAAACGATTTGTTAAAGACAATAGAATATCTCTGTTTTACTATTTAAAAAATGTAAAAAACATCTATATTGTGGAAAATAAAAGTGATTTTTACTCAACCCTACTGACTCGGTATACACATTCAGCTAATGTTTTATTCAGGCTTTGCAGAAGCCTCTACTCCACTGTTTTATTTACACACTGTAAACGCATACACAAGAATTCACAGGGAAAAAAAAAAGTTTGACTCACCGATATAAGCTCCGCTGCAGAAACCGGCAGGAAGTGGAAGGAGAGCTGTTAAAATACAAACAGAAAATGCCAGATGAGCTCAACTGAACAAACTACTGCTAATCACACTATTCCATACGCTGACGTAGTGTACATGGCTTCGTTTCAGAGCTAATGCTGCCACCAAGTGGTTAATTGTGTCATTTTGGTCTGGGTTTATAATTTAAATGTAGACGAATGCGAACTTCTGTCTACCCGTAAAGTTTATAAATAAAACACTACTTAATTTAGAAAGATTTAGGAGGAGACTCGTGAAAAAAAGATGCAATAATATTATTATTATAGATCTCTCTCTCTCTCTCTATATATATATATATATAATAATAAATATAGAAAACATTAGCTATGGAGATGATAACGTTTCATAGAACAGTGACATAAACACCGATGGACAAAAAAACAGAATGAACCGGGAAAAAATAGTAACTGTAGAGGTACGAACCAAATTGCAAAAAGTAGTTGACGTCAGGTTATGACAATTCATCGTACACAATAAACAGTAAACAATATAAGAATGACTACTCATTTGTAGATTGTTTACTAAGTATAAAAGCGACCGAATCATATTTTATTGTAAGTCAAAACTACTTTTAATCCGGTTAATTTATAGTTTGTACACAACTAACCACTTGATACCTCTGAAATGCAGCCACATTAAACGGCACTCGTTAAACTCACCTCAGCGAACTTTAAACTCATCACGGAGCCGACGAAGACACTCAAATGGTACGTTGGACGATGTTATTGGTGTCATTTTCATCGGGGAAAAGTGTAAATTTCGGTGAAATATGAAGAAAAATTAGCTTTGTTTGTTTTCAATTCGCCCTCAGTGACGCACCTGGACTCAATACAGGACGTAATTACCGTGCTGGGAACCAGAAAGGAAATCCCGCCTACCGTGAAAAGTGATTGGTCAACTTGGAAAAACCGGCCAGTCAGGAGCTTCTACGTCTCTCTTCATGAATAGACAGGAAATGCGAATCCCTGGCTTAAACAAGAAAGTAATATTAAAATATGTATACATTTTTTAAATACCACAAAGATTAAACATTATAAACACTTAAAGAGCCAGAGGTATTATTTAATCCTAATACAATTCTGTATGCACTAGTTCACATTTTATGTTACGCTTATCGTTTTTTTTATACATACTGACATCCGAGTATAAAAAATATACATAGTGAAACAGAATTGTCTGCTCAGAATAAACGGTCGAGTGAAAATAATTAGGTTTTTATACCTTGATTATTTACGCTTTAAAAATCATAATAATAATCTAAGATATTGTCGTGACAGTAAATCTCTTACAATTTTATTTCTCCCAAAATTTAAATTATTAATTTGTAGGGACTTGAAACTGAAGGAACTCCATAGTGGACCTGGATCACCCTTCAATATAAATCCTGTGGATCTACTTGAACTTTAATGACTCAGATCTGACCTCCAATCAACAGGACTCCACTGGAACTGTCTTGACATCCCAGGGACTTGACTTCCTCAGACATTGACTTCTCCTTTGACTCCAAGAGAGACTCCATGTGACTCAGACTTGTTCATTGATTGGAGCTTGATGTCTGGAGGACTAGGTGGAGATTACACTCGGAATCCTTCTGCAACTCTGACATCAAATTATGGGGACTCCTGGTCTTCATCTCTGTCTCCACCTAAACTTTTCTTGACTTGGACTTGGAAGACTTCACTAAGAGAATCACGTCTGCAGTTTATCAACTCTGGAACCTTCAGGAAAGGAAACAGTGACAAGTGACTTTTTCAGCCATAGATGCGACATTAAAACAACGTTGGACATTGACATTTTTCCAGTCAATTTACTCCGACACTAATTTGCTGTTTAGCTGACGGCTTGTTTTCATCTCCAGAAGCAGAAAATTATCTAAAATGTTAATTAGAGTCCCGTCTTTGAATGATGACATTTTAAATGTTTTGCTCATAACCAAAGAAAGTGAGTTTACCGTAACGGACGCAAAAAAAAGAAAAAGAACCCCAAAAAAAAAAAAAAAAACACTTTCACATTTCAGAAGTTGAAACCAGAGATTTTGAATTTATTAAAAAAAACAAACTTAAAACAAAAAGTCAAGCAACAAAAATGTCAGCGACTCATTTCATTGGTCAATGGGTCACAGGTGAATTGAATTTTTTCAGCTCTACTCTACACCTTGAAGAACTCTTTCTGTGTGTGTAGCTCAGACATGTGACACATCTGTTCACACACCTCTCACAGTTCAATCAGTTATTTCAAGGTTTCTCTAAGATTTTTTTTTTTTGCCTCAGCCTGATCCAAAAACTCCAATTGAACCTTTACTGCAGCTGACGGAGGGCAACTAAAGGTAAGATGATAAAAGAAAACTAGAATGAAGATGATGATGACGACGACCAATGATGAGGCACTAAAGCTCGCTGACTGTGGAAAACAAACGCTCTCCTCCTAATTTGTTATCACTACTTTTTACAGAGTTGATTTCTTTTTCTTTCTTTCTCTTTTTTTTAAACCCTAGCAGCTGAAATTTACAATTTTCGCAACTCGTGAGAAAAAAAATCCTGTTCAGTCTTTCAATCAGGTAAAGCCCCTGTGTACCACTTATTGCCTTCACTCCTTCAGGAAACAAAAATCACGTAGTAAAAAGGAAAACGTCATTCATTAAAAAAACAAAAAACAAACAAAAAAAACAAAACATCACCACAATAATCCAATATATTATCATCCAGTTTTCTTTAAATCACATATTTACACATTAGCCCAATTTACTTTCCCCCTGTTGAAAAACAAAGATGAAGGAGACGCTTACAGAGACGATGGCGTTGGTAAGAAGGTGATGGGTTCAAACGAGGCCGTGTGGTTCCTCCATACCGCATACTCTCCTCTGTACACGTGTCAGGAACCGAAGTTCTCAGCGTTCTCCCTCTCGTTCTCAGTGTGAAGCTCAACATGTGCCACGCAGCAAGGTCCATGGCTCTTTGGTGCGAATGTTCCTCGTCTACCCCCTCCCACCCCCCACCCCGAAACTAAACAAGTCCCACAACCTTTATCCGAAGCCCAAACCCAGGTAGATCAGCCCCCAAACCTTGCCACACATTCAAGTACAAAAAAAAAAAAATATTAATAACAGAAGCATTGGAGGGAAACAAACAAACAAAAGCGAGACAGCAGTCCTCGGGACAGAACGGAGCTTCTCCGAATATGAAACTTTACCTTCCACAACACACGGGGGCGCCCTATTGAGAAACTCCGGAGACCCAGCGCCACTTAAACAACCGTGTCCCCGTGTTCTTCTTCATCAGTGACTAGAGGTTTCCTTCCAATGGATTTTATGTTTGTTTTTTTTTTTTGTTTTTTCCTAGAACAGTTTGTCGTCAGCGTCACTTCTATTTTTTTTGCAGTTTTTTACCTTTCCTCAGGACCAGTTTGTTCTTGATGTGACCTCGCTTCCTCTTGGCAGTCTGCTTGGAGAAACATAACAAAGATTCTTGATGTGACCTCGCTTCCTCTTGGCGGTCTGCTTGGAGAAACAGAGAGAATTTCATATTTTTGACAACATATTTATCAACATATACGATGTGATGTTGATATGGTGAGACATGACAACAGGTGGGATTATGATCAGTAATAATGGCGACACTGTTCAATGTTGGCGTCACTTCCTGTCTCTGACGACCAATCAACACAGATGTGAAAAGTCAGGACACACCGGAGAGTCTGGAGCCAATTTAAAGTCAAAGCTGCCGTCAGCAGCGCCATCTCTCGCCTCACTCCAAGGCGGGTGTCAGGTTTAGCGCCACCTTTCCCTCTTTGCCTCTTTCATTTACACACATTATCAAATGGCAGGGCAGCAATTCACAGCACGAGCGCCCGAGTCCCTGTGGACCTCTGACTACTACGGTTGTGATGTTTCCAGAACTCTGTGACAGAAGGTGTTTTTAGGGCTGTTAATTTGGTCCTTTTTGATTTTGAAAAAAGAAAAACCACACATTTTGTGGCGTTTCTTTGAATCAGACCAGAGGACAGAGACAAAGAAACAGATGAACGACATCAGTGATGACGAGGCGTCCGCTCCGAACTCCATCAAAACCGGCTGGCTGAATGGATCAATGAGCTGCTTTCTCTTTTTCTCCACTGACTGAACCTGTGTGTGTTTTGTTTTTGTTACTTCACACACCCACTGCTAACAAACACTGGTCTTTGGAAATGTTGACGTTGTTTTTGTTACTTCACACACCCACTGGTCTTTGGAAATGTTGACATTAACATTCAAACCATGGAACCGTCATATATTTAAGAAACGTTTAATGCTGAGATTAGTTCAATCCCATGATGTCCAACCTAAGGCTTTGAGGCCAGTTTACAGAACAGGTTTTTTTCTCTCTTATCTTCCAAACCTGGTTAAACTGATAAAAGCAAAGAGCGTTTTTTAATCAGTGAAGTCTCGTTAATGAGTTGTATTTTATAGCTTTGTTTACCCTACGTCCGTCGGAAGATAAATTAAACCATCGCCAACCTAGAGACAACATTCATCACCATGACTCTGTCATGTGACATCCATCCATTACCGCCCCTCGTACCTTTTTGGACGTGTACTTCTGCCTGGGAAGGACACTGCGGAGCTTGTGGTCCAGCGGCTCTCTGTTGTCCAGGTTCTTGACCTTGTAGATCCTGACCAGCCAGTGCTCCGAGGTGAACGCCTCCTCCAGGTGCTGGAACTTGATGTCCTTGTTTCCGATCTCGGCGTTACGTGTGCGGTCGAAGCCCGGCGGCGTCCTGAAGTCCAACTGGGAAGTGGAGAAAATGTAATTATATTGTTAGTCGTACCATTTAATGGTCATCTTAGCGTCATGTACTATGAAGTATAGTGCGCTAATGATTGAAGTAAAAAAAAAAAAAAAAGGACAAAAACTGAAATGATTATTCAACAGATAAAAAATTACATTTTGTATCATTTTCTAAAACCAAAACAAACATTTTCTGTGTAACAGCAGGAAATGAAAACTGAGGATTAAATGTTTCTTTGATTAAATTTAATTCTTATTACAGCACTTTTACTCAATGAAGTGAAGTGGAGCTTTTAAAGAGTTACTTAATTACCAGAGATACTCATAGATACAAACAGGTTTCCTTCCATCTCACTGACCTGCTCCTATAATAAACTCCTCTCTGTTCTTTCTGGCTCCTCCTGCCAAGAATCCTGCCCTGAAATAAATCTCCAAGTCTCTAAACCAGTAGGTTTTCATCAGTATTTCGACTTTCCCTCATTCAGAAGAATTTCCTTCTTTTACAGCTTGTAAATGAAGATTTTATGCTAATCTTTAATGGATGAGTGTGTTTTGAAATTTATTCAAAAGAACTTGACAAATAAACTGTGTTATTAAATTCAATTATCTTTAAAAGGTGAGGTTTTTGTACAGCCTTTTTTGTCAAGGGCAAACTGAACACAAACTGATTTGGTGAAGTTTCACGACTTCTTCCTAGAAGTATTTTTCTTGCAAATTTTTTTAAAACAAAAGTTTTTTTACAGCAATTTATTTTCTGCCCATATTGTAGTCTTTTTTGGCCAAACTTTGAATGGATTTGTAGATTTATGAATTTAACAAAGACAAATTGCCAGCTAACTTTTGCAGACCTCTAGCATTCTCTGGGCTAACGTCAGTGCTAACATCAACCACACTGCCTTTTGTAACAGAACCTGTAGCAGGTTTTCAACAGTCTCTGACTCATCGGTTCTAAACTGTACCATTACCATTATTTAACTTAAAAAAAAAAAATCAAGATTAAAACTTATAATATGGATCTGTTTAAAGATAATAGGATGGATTTAATTTTTTTTTAACCAAAACAAAAGCATTTGTTCTGCAGTGATAATGCAGTGCCACTGCTGTAAAAATGCTCCATATACGTCTGATGTCACGTCTGCCCTCGGGCGACACTTAGGCTGCCCTCTGTGTGAGACACCGTTCTAATGATTCCACTTTAAATGTAGATGACTGTTCCTCCCTCTGCCTTTGATACAAATATTACATCCTCTCTACGTCTGATCGTCCCTTTCCATGGACTCACCCCCTCCTCCCCTCCCGCCCCCACATGTCTTCTGTACTCATGTATAGAATATTCCATGAACCATTACACTGATTTACAAGTGCTTGTATGAAATATGCGATCATAAACAGATGCAGACGCCGTCGATGCACATATTCATTAGGTGTTTCCCCTTCTCTATTGAAGTGTGCAGGAGATGAGATTCACGTGTCGCCTTCTGTGACCATGAATTTATTCCCTTCATTGAACGCTCCACACTCAGCACTATTTCCACATCTTTAAGGCATTATCCCTTCATCTTGAACAGACTCGTGCCGAGGTTCAAGCGGCTCCTCTCGCCCTCTACCGCTCATGTCCTCTAGAGCCTTTATTTCCACCTTGTCACATCCTGTTTTCATAAAATTAATCTATTGCCCTAACGATAACACTTACTCGCCCCAGCGGACTCACTCACACACCGATCAGAGGGTTGCAGCAGCAGCAGCGGCAGCATCACGGTTCTCTAATTTCAGCCGAGCCACTGGCAGGACAGCATTTACAGCAGGGATTCTAACACCTGACAACAGGAATCCCTCTCATCTGTGGCGAGGCTGTATTTCAAAGCTCCACAGATTCTTTCCTCTTTCCTCCTACGTGTTTTTTTTATTTATTTTTTTATTCTTTCCTTTTCAACACAATCTGAAGTTTTGTAAATCCCAACAGCATCTCTTCAAGTCCTGTCTACACGGCAGCCAACTCCACTCTTCCTACAGAGGCATCAAGTTTTGCACCGCTGGTTCGTGACAGCTGCTCATTACTGTCTGACCCCGAGAACAAAGCCTCGGATTTTCACCGTGTCGAACCCAGGAAGTAAATAATGAACGGACACTCGTCGTCAGGTTTATGTGAAGCTCCAGACAAAAAGGCACAGAGTTTAAAAATTAAATACAATTATATTAATATTGATTATATTTGTATATAAGCCCATACCACAAATGATCTTGGTAATAATATTTAACTACACTCTGAGTGTGACACTTCTTATTGATCCACTCATTAGCAGAGGGAGGACATTTTTTTTTTTAATTTTAGCAATAAACGATGATCCACCGCGATCTAAAATGTTAATTAATTGATTTTTTTTTTAAATAATACTGGTGAGTACAAGTGAGTCTCCAGCTGATCTTCTTACCTGCATTTCTCCAAATCTATAGTAGGACATCTTGTACATGAGGCAGTTGAGCAGAGTGGGAGAGCCGGCCTTGTCCACTCTGAATTCTCCCTGTGGCGTGAAGTAGTCGCTCTCCTGAGGAGGACAAGGAGGAGAGGAAGTGAGGGCCGTAAAACGGGCAGATGGAGAGATAGTGGGGGTAATTAGAGAAGGCAGTGACAAATGGATGGCACAGATAGATGGAGCGGTGATTAAATCAAGTGTGCACATTTGATAATCATGACTGATTGGTACGGTGAGAGCCTCAAAAATAAATGTAATTATTTCCACCATTCAGCCTGCATTTCCAGACATGTGACCGACTAACAGCTGCTGTCTAACTTTACACAACTCATTCCTAACGTTGTAATATTAACGTTTACTTTTATTGAATCCAATCTCTGGGGCTATTTGTCCAAGGAGTGTAGCGACTGATTTAGAAGAAATTAATATTCATCAAAGGTTTGCTTTAAGTCATTTAAGCTGTGATACATGAGCCACTATCTTAAATCTGTAATATAATAAACTTAATAATTAAAGAGTAGAGATGAAATATTAAATTAACTTTAGATGAGATTTTGGAACAAAGTTATTACAGCCATGATTAAAACGCCACAACCTTCAAATCAAATGAACTTTATGTATCACTATTATTTTCTTGCATTTTTTAGCTAGTTCTTAGCAATTTCTGTGCTAAATTTCAGTCCTAGGTGGCTTTTATTTTATTTTATTTTATGAATTTTATATTATTGGGCTTTCGGATTGTTTTGCTTGTTTTCAGGCTTGATTTTAGAATGTAGTTAATCAAGTTATGACATATTTTAGCCTTTAACGGCTAACTTGTAGTTAGTTTTGCAAAAAAACCTGACAATTTAGCAATTTGCTACCCTCTGTAATCATTTTTAGGGTTAGCCAGCATTAAGCTACTTTGCTATTTTTCCACCCAAATAACAACTTACATCTTGTCCTTCAGTTGTTTTAAATGCTAAAAGTAAGCTATTGTTTACTGGCTAACTACTGGTGTGTAGATTTTTTAGGTATCTTTAGGGTGGAAAAAAAATAGCATTTAACATTTTAGCATAGCTTACATGTCTATTTTCTGTGTAAATGTGAGACACTCAGTCAACAGCACTTTGTCAGATAACATGTTTGTGACACAGCAACTCTTGAAACCCGTTCTGCGCGGCCTTCGTTATTAACAAAATTCTTTTGCAGCACAAAATAAAAAACAGACAAAGAAACCCGTTCTGCGCGGCCTTCGTTATCAACAAAATTCTTTTGCAGCACAAAAAACCAAACAAACAGACAAATGTGTCAAGTATGTGTGCGTATTAGAAGTACTGTGTTTATCTAGCATTGTCAAGTACCTTAAAAAAAAAAAGCATCTTTTTAACCTTGACCACAAAATGATTGTAATTCCAACACTGAGGAGAATTTAGAGCATCTGTTCACAGTTTGACAAATGCAGCCGTTAGCCTCAACACAGTCTGTTCTCCGTGCCACGAGTACTTGCACGCCTCAGTGTGGTCCTTGAGCAGCACTGT